ATTTTTCAAATTTTCCAGTTATTTAATTATTCGCCTATTTCAAGTATTGCCCACTTTTGCCTGGCATAAATTATATGGTAATTAAAAATTCAATAATTTTCCAGAACGAATCTACGAGGATCATGAATATTTAGTGGAAAATATCATGATGTGGACGTTAAATTCCCAAAATAAATTGTATTTTACACGGCGCATCGATAAATACTCATTTCTGGATCGTCCGGAAGAATTTTTGGTGACACAAAAAAATATCGATACACTGGTACATGGCCCTCCAACACCAACCACCAAACGAGCCGTTGTGCGGGTAAGTACTGAATGCTTCAAAATTTTCAATTTTCTGGATTGCAATGATCGTAATATCCCGGCAGTTGGCTCTTGCTGCTTCAGTGGTTTACCCTCTCAAACGCCCAAAGTCTTATGAAGAAACAGTTACATGTCAAGTTCAACTCTGTCTAGTCCTCCTGCTCTTGGTTTGTTGTTCTAAATTTATAGAATTGTATGGATGAAAGAAGCCCAGATAGAGAAGAATAGCGGTGTGTGCCCTCATCTTCACTTAATACATGTCTGTTCCACCAAAATCGTTTAAATAACAATTTTTATTCTTGCCGGTTCCACTTTTCTTTACGTCTTGTACCATGTAAGATTCAGAAGCTGCTATTTCAGGGCAAGCGGCAACAAAATTTTCGCAGTAGGGTAAACAGATACCTCTTACATGGGTTTTATAGCGTACAGATACAAGCAAACGCCACTGAGGTAAAGCCAGTGGCGCGTCGCTTAAACAGTGCTCCACATTATTGGCTCGTGTTACAACATTAATTCCTTCATCGCTCGCAACTTTTCGAGATTTTCTGAAGAATTTTTTGGAAGGAAAGGAGTAATTTTTCACGCTGTTGAGCTATTAACATTCTGGAAGCATAGAATTGTCCCATAGGTAACTGAATCAGTCAAAAATATAAAGCTACAACATGCAACATGTTTATGTGCAGAAATCAGTACTGAGTAATAAGAAAAATCAAAAATTTAAAAATGAAATTAATAAAATGAATAACGGGTTATCAAGCATTTGAAAATAATAGCTACTTTAGTACCTTGATCGGTTGTTGCCTTATCGTTATGTTTCTTCTTCCCATCGATGCAGCTGGCTACTTCTCAATTCTCCTCTGTTTTGGGCTTCTTCTGCCCACGTGATTCCATACAGCCTTTCAAGCGGATATAAAAGATACCTGTTTAATGCTTGATTATTAGTGAGTTTAAGAAACCTAATTTTTGAGTCGAGGATCCTTTCTTTTAAGTATTGTGAAAAATTTATATATGCATTAAAATCGTTTTCTTAGTTGCGCCACCTACTGCTTTTATTTGAACATGAGATTTGCCCAGCTGGCACTTAGCGTTGTTCTGGATCAGATGCTTTTATTAATTAATGGATGCTGGTGGTTTTGTATGATGTGTATGTGGTTGAAGCATGATTTTGGAGCTGAAGGAAAGGAGGGAATGTGGGGGAGAAGGGTGAAAGGGATCGCATTTGATTAAGCGCTATTTACATAGTGTACCTGGTACTAGTGTAGCAGCTATCGAGCAACTTACAGCGGCAGCAGCAGCAACAGCACAGCAAAACTTTACAACATCCGGGAATATACGAACTACCACAAGAATCGTTGTTCCCCAACAATATCATGATGCATTGACTCGAAGTGACTCGAAGAAAATACGGGTCTGACAATCTGATATTGTAGAATCAAGTACAAAGATTGCGCAAAAACATTAAATGAATGGGCTGACGCAGCTCTGTCTGGTCTACGATAGTATCTCAGCAATACCCTTAACATAGGATCCCTAAACTGACAGTCGCCGCCCAAGTGTGGCTCTGCAATTTAAAATCCGGCTTTCATGCACGCATAGGTCATGTGAAAGTTTTGGCGCAAGAACTGATAGTTCGGGAACTACAAGGGAAGCTGGAAATTTGTTGGAATTTTCCCTGCCCATGTGTGGCACAAGTTAAATTTATAATTTATGTACGTTTAGTTTTCATGCAAAGTCACGTGAAAATTATGGCACAAAAAATTGGTACCTCAGTAGTCAAAAAAGCTATGAAGCTAAAACTAAGATGAATGGTAAGTGTTCATGTACGACAGAAAATTTAGATCAGCTTCTGCATGCATTTGCATTTCACGTAAGGATGCATGCGCTTTAACAGGAAATTTCCCAATTCCGAAACCAGAAAAGGCAAAAAGCCGAAATTCCAAGAGAAGGTTTTCTGTACGTCTGTGTGTCCGGAAATTTTAAATCCAGCTTCCACGTTCGCGTAGTTTAGCATATGTAAAATTGTGTATTTTGGTCAGTCAGAATGTTCGAACGACTTCTCCACATACCAAACAGTAAAGCAATATTTTTAAAGGCCAACATTTGCTAGACAGATTTGCAAAAAACGCATTACACCAGGTATCCTGGTGCAGGTCGCTATTTATTCATAATCAGTGAAGCGATTTTATGCTTCTTTACACTCTCCATACAGAGATTTTCTTTTCCTCGAATTCGGAGGTATCCCGAAGTGATGGATAGACAAGGCGGTTCTGTGGTTTATAACTCAGCCGTAGATTTGTGCCTAATAAATAGTAATGCACAGCGTGTGATGAAAGGAATCATGCTTTCATACAAAATATTGCTCTGCGGATGCAGTCGGGTACTTTCATCGAGATATAAGGGATTATCCTCGTTA